CCCCACCTCCCTTTTCCCTCCCCCTCCCCAACTCCCCCCCTCGCTAGTCCTAAGAGCAATCATGGTTCCCTGCCCCGTGGGAAGTCCAAGGTCCTCCCTCCTCCATCTAGGTTTATAAAGGTGAACATCCAAACAAACCAGGCTCCCACAAAGTCAGTCCATGCAGTAGAATCAAATCCCAGTGCCATTGTCCTTGACTTCTCAGTCAGCCTTCATTGCCAGCCACATGCACAGTGTCCAGTTTGATCACATGCTCCATCACTCCCAGTCCAGCTGGCCTTGGTGAGCTCCCATTAGATCAGTCCTACTGTCTCAGTGGGTGGACGCACCCCTCGTGATCCTGACTTCCTTGCTCATGTTCTCCCTCCTTCTGCCTCTCATTTGGATGTTGGGAGCTAAGTCTAGTGCTCCAGTGTGTGTCTCTGTCTTTATCTCCATCCATCACCAGATGAAGGTTCTATGGTGAAATGCAAGATATTCATCAGTGTGGCTATGGGACAAGGCCAGTTCAGGCACCTTCTCCTCTGCTGCTCAAGGAACAATCTGGGGACCTCTCCCTGGACCTGGGAACCCCTCTAGAATCAAGTCTCTTGCAAACCCTAAAATGGCTCCCTTAATTAAGATATTTACTTCCCTGCTCCCATATCCACCCTTCCTCCATCCCACCCATTCAATTCCCCCAAGGTTTCCCGAATCCTCCCCTTCTCCCTTCTCTCTTACATCCACCCCCCACACCCCCATGCACCCAAGTTTTGCCTAGCAATCTTGTCTACTTCCAATATCCAGGAGGATAACTATATGATTTTCGTTAGGTTCACCTTCTTATTTAGCTTCTCTAGGATCACAAATTATAGGTTCAATGTCCTTTAATTATGGCTAGAATACACTTATGAGTGAGTACATACCATATTCTTCTTTTTGGGTCTGGGTTACCTCACTCAGTAAAGCGTTTTCTATTTTCATCCATTTACGTGCAATATTCAAGGTGTCATTGCTTTTTACTGCTGAGTAAAACTCCAATGTGTATATGTTCCCCAACCTCTTTATCCATTCTTCTATTGAGGGGCATCTAGGTTGTTTCCAGGTTCTGGCTATTACAAATAGTGCTGCTATGAACATAGTTGAACAAATGCTTTTGTAGTATAATAGGGCATCTCTTGGGTATATTCCCAAGAGTGGAATTGCTGGGTCTTGAGGTAGGTTGACTCCCAGTTTTCTGAGAAACTGCCACACTGTTTTTCCAAAGTGGCTGCACAAGTTTGCATTCCCAACAACAATGGATGAGTGTTCCCCTTACTCCACATCCTCTCCAGCATAGACTATCATTGGTGTTTTTGATTTTAGCTATTCTGACAGGTGTAAGATGGTATCTCAAAGTTGTTTTGATTTGCATTTCCCTGATCGCTAAGGAGGTTGAGCATGACCCTAAGTGTCTTTTTGCCATTCGAAATTCTTCTGTTGAGAATTCTCTGTTCAGTTCAGTACCCCATTTTTTAATTGGGTTAATTAGAGTTTTAGTGTCTAGTTTCTTGAGTTCTTTGTATATTTTTGAGATCAGACCTTTGTCTGATGAGGGGTTGGTGAAGATCTTCTTCCAGTCAGAGGGTAGCCTTTTTGTTTTACCGACAGTGTCCTTTGCTTCACAGAAGCTTCTCAGTTTCAGGAGGTCCCATTTATTCATTGTTTTTCTTATTGTCCATGCTACTAGGGTTCTACCTAGGAAGTGCTCTCCTGTGCCCATGTCTTGTAGACTACTTCCCACTTTCTCTTCTATCAGGTTCAATGTGGTCAGATTAATATTGAGGTCTTTAATCCATTTGGACTTGATTTTTGTGCATGGTGATAGATATGGATCTACTTTCATTCTTCTACAGGTTGGCATCCAGTTATGCCAGCACCATTTGTTAAAGATGCTTTCCTTCTTCCATTGTATACTTTCAGCTCCCTTGTCAAAAATCAGGTGTTCATAGGTTTGTGGGTTAATATCCGGGTCTTCTATTTGATTCCATAGGTCGACTTCTCTGCTTTTATGCCAGTACCAAGCTGTTTTCAATACTGTAGCTCTGTAATAGAGTTTGAAGTCAAGAGAAGTTCCTTTATTGTATAAGGTTGTTTTGGCTATCCTGGGTTTTTTGTTTTTCCATATAAAGTTGATTATTGTTCTCTCAAGGTCTGTGACGAATTTTGATGAGATTTTGATGGGAATTGCATTGAATCTATAGATTGCTTTTGGTAGAATTGCCATTTTTACTATATTGGTCCTCCCTATCCAAGAGCACGAGAGATCCTTCCATTTTCTGGTATCCTCTTCATTTTCTTTCTTCAAAGACTTAAAGTTCTTGTCAAATAGATCTTTCACTTCCTTGGTTAGAGTTATCCCAAGATATTTTATGCTATTTGTGGCTACCATGAAAGGTGTTGCTTCTCTGATTTCCCTCTGTGCTT